TGTACCCCAGTGTTACACAGTGACAGACCTGTCCCCACCGGTACTGTACCCCAGTGTTATACAGAGACAGATGAGTCCCGACCAGATGATGAGGGTCATGCTGTATGGGACCTCCAGTTTAATACAGCCTGTTAACCTTCAGCACTGAGCTCCAAAAGAAGCCACTGTCCAAAACAAGCTTATACAAAAGGAATATCTAACACAAAGACCAGAGATCTGGGAAGCATGATTCCTAAAACTACTCACAGCAACATCCTGAGGGTTTGTTAGTGCCAGGAGGTTAAGGGGGGAGGTTGAGAAAGAGTAGAGGATGGGGAACCAGAGGGGGCAGACAAGATGGAGCAGAGATACAGCACATGAGGGTACAGCCAAGAAAGAGATATTTTCTCACATTCTTTCACAGAGGGAAAATGTGAGTGGGAGAATGTAGAAAGATACAGAGAGAGAGAGACAAGTGTGAGAGAGAGAGAGAAAAGCACAGAGCGCGTGAGTGAAGATGGACTTAGTGAGTAAATGCACATTAGCTAGGGTGATTGAGAAACTATCTTTCCGTCAGTGATCAGGAGAGGGACAGACACACACATTATCCACTGTCCTGCTCTCAGAAGCCTCAAGCTTTCAGCAGGTCACAGTCGAAGCCCCTGAAGACAGTGGGATCGGGTTTGATTTGAGTCAAGTGTTTGTTGCTGGTGAGATGAAGTTTCAGGGGCAGCTTCTGCAGTGATTCAGGATCAAAGGACAGACCGTGGAAGTAGCGATGCTGACTGAACAAATCGAGGTGGTGTAAACGGAGCTGAGGGTCTCTGCACAGAAGCTGAAACAGAAGCAGAGAGAGAGAGAGAGAGAGTGTGAAACTGAGGGCTGCTCTGTGCAGCCACACATCTGCCTTCTCTCCTCCCCCACTGACTCCTGATTGACCCTCAGCTCTCCAGAGTCCTGATGATATGGAGCAGCTGTGTGTGAGCCTCCAGAGGGTGAGCAGGCAGTTCAGCTGGGAGGGGTGGCGCAGACAGGATTCCTCCTGTACTAATTCACACTCCCCACAGCCAGGGAAAACAGCAGTCCTTTTACTGAGTAACTCATGGAGCCTGGGGGAGCTGTGGTTGGTCCCAACTCCATGCTCAGTGCCTTGGTCATTTAACCACCTGACAGCGTTCCGATGCCCTGCCCTGGGTTTGGGCGAGGTGGGGGGGCAGTCAGAGAAACACAGGGTGAAGCAGATGAGGGACTGGGAGAGGAGAGAAGATCACCGTGAGCTCTAGGATTGCACTGAGAAAGGAAGAGAAGGAATATAAAAAGATGAAGGTGTTGAGTGTGACCTACCTCAGCGAGCAGGAGGGTGAGGTTCTGGCTGATGGAGGAGGGTGGCCTCATGTCTGCTTGCTCCACACTCACCAGCATCGAGATGTGATCACTCTGCGGCTCAACAGGAAACTGTAAGTCAGACAGAGAAACCACATCAGCACCAACACACACACACACCTGCGCACCCCCTACACCCACACACACCAACCCCCACCCCACCCCACACACACACACGGCAGCAGTAACTGGAATCCTACACAGCTCACAAACTCCAAACACAAGCCGGGGCACTGCGGAGGGGGAGGGGTACAGGGCCTGAGCACAGATGATCAGGGAGATACAGGAAGGTTCATCAATCAGTCTGTCCATGCGACTGTCCTTCTGCATTCCCTCCCTCACAAATCAGGCCTCAACCCTTGGCTCACCACTTTCTCCAGTTTCTATCCCATCTCCCTCATCCTCCCAGGGGCACCCGTCTCCCATTGCTCCTCAGCACCCATTTGCTCCTTAATCCAACGCCTCCCACCCCCAAGCTTCTTCCGCTGGGTTTTGACAGGAAACAGACAGACATTCAGTCCCACACCTGGTAACACTTTTGGACCAAACACAAACCAGATACAACTTGTGTCTATACAGCACCTTCACACAGTAAAATATTTCAACATTCCACTTCTCAGGAGTGTTACAGAACAAATATGTCACCAAGCAACATGAGAAGATACTGAGACAGGTCAAAGAAAGCTCAGTCAAAGAGATCACATTGATGGAATGTCTTTAAGGGGGGGTAGAGAGAGAGAGAGACGGTGAGAAAAAGAGAGGGAGAGAGAGAGAGAAATAAAGAGACAGTGAGAAAGAGAGTGATGGGAAGCTTTAGGAAGGGAATTCTGCAGCTTCGGGCACAGAAAGCTGAATGTGAGGCAATGTCAGATCCACTGTGTAACAAAGACACAATCACGGTTTGACAATACCCTCAGAATCCCCACAGCTGCACTGCCAGCCTCTAAGGTGACCCTCCTTCCCGTGTTGTTACCTTGCCGATGAGCAGAGCGAAGAGGAGGATTCCGAGAGACCACCAGTCAGCTGCATGGTTGTACGGACCACCCCTTAACACTTCAGGAGCTGCGAACCATTAACAGGTCAGATATCAGCAACTGGAGAGACTACTGTGAGGATTAGAAATAAACACTGCCCAGTTACCCAGAGCTGTGCAGTGAAATGTTTGATCAGTATCCATATAAATCCAGCACAAAACACTCCCTTCTCCCTGTTCTCCATCCCCACACTCTGATTGCAGTTTGACCCCAATATTTCCTCCGATAACCTCCTCCTCCTCCCACTCCCAGCTCCAGTCCATCATCAACAAAAGTTTAGGAGCAGATATCCTGCTCCCCAGAGACCCCTCCTGGACCTAGACCACCTCGATAACATCACCCCTCCCTCCCCGGTGACCTTACCCATGTACTACATGGTCCTACAGATGGTGTAAGCCCTCTCTCCCCGGTGACCTTACCCATGTACTGCATGGTCCCACAGATGGTGTAAGCCCTCTCTCCCCGGTGACCTTACCCATGTACTGCATGGTCCCACAGATGGTGTAAGCCCTCTCTCCCCAGTGACCTTACCCATGTACTGCATGGTCCCACAGATGGTGAAAGCCCTCTCTCCCCGGCACAGTCTGCGGCAAAAACCAAAATCTGCCAACTTGAGGTGACCTGAGAGGGACAGAGAGAGGGGAAAGAGAGAGAGGGAGGGAGGAAGGGAGGGAGAGGGAGAGAGGGAGAGAGAGAGAAAGGGAGAGAAAAGGAGACAAACGGAGGGGGAGAGAGAGAGTTAAATGTCAGTTTTATGAAATACTCACCAACTGAATGTATCAATTTATTGCTTTGGAACTGATTTGATTAAAAAATTGATCATTTACTTTTGCAACAAACCCTAAACTTTCTGAAGTCTGCTCCCTGTGCTCCCATGTTTCCCTCAGAGTAGACAGTGTTCCCATTGGTGGGAGGCTCGAGAACCAGAGGGGCACAGATTGAAGATAATTGCCAGAGGGAGCAATGATGAGATGAGAATAAACATTCTTACACAGCACCTGGTCAGGTTCTAGAATCTGCTGCCGAAGAGGGTGCTAGAGGCAGGTTCAACTGCGGCTCTGAACAGTGAACTGGACCAATACCTGAAGGTTGTAGGTAAAAGGGGGGCATGTGGGATGAGGCGGGTTACTCTCACTGAGATATAGCACAGACAAGATGGACCAAATGCCCTCTTTCTGTGCTGTAACTGTTGTATGATTCTAACAACAATTTGTATTACTATAGTGCCTTTAATGGAACAAAGCAACCCCAAGGGGCTACACAAGAGCGATTATGAAGCAAATGTTGACACTGAGCCACACAGAGAGATATTCGGATATTACGGGGTATTGGTGACAGAAATAGGTTTAAGGAACAACTGATTGAAGGGGGGGGAGGCAGAGAGCTGAAGGGGGGGGGGGGGGGGGGGGGGGGGGGGGTGGATTTCCAGAGCTTGGGGCCCAGGCAGCTGAAGGTGAAGCAACTGATAGCGAAGTGATTGCAATGAGGGATGTGTAAGAGGCAGAATTAAAGAAGCACAGGTGTCTTTGAGGGTCCTGCAGGAGAGGAGAGAGAAAGGGAGGGAGAGCTCCAGAGGATTCGAAAACAATCAGAATTGCTATCAGGAATATATGAAAAGTACACATTGCTCAGTAGCAGTTACATATTGCTGTAGTCCCAGAGGAGCAAAGCCCTGTTCCCTCATCCCAGACAGAGAGAGAGGGAGAGGGAAAGGGAGGTTGGGGGCGGGGGGAGG